GAGCGTCCATTCAATGCTGAACACTGGCCGAGTCCGTGCGTAAGCTGAAACGGTTAACGCCCCATGCCAGTGCCATGTTCACGTCACTCATCGCCGCGGCCAACTCGGCCATGTTGATGTGGCCCGCCGCCATGGACTCTGGCCGGAGCCACGCGGCATACTCGAGAACGCCGTCCTCCGCATCCTCTAGGACTACCCCGTTCACGATAGCGCTCGCGTCAGTCCACACCACGAGCTCCCGGCCGACCATTCGCCACGGCCCACGAGCAGGGTCAGCTGCCCTCACCCGCGTTGTGACTTCCCGGACATGCGCGCGCAACGCATCATCCCACACTGGGTCGTCCCACCCGATCGTCAGGCCGTTCACTCGCCTCTTTAGCCAGGCAGCTGCTGGCCGCAACCATCCCGCCACGGGGGGGGGGGGGGGGGGGGTGCGCTACCAACTGCCCGCACCACGCAAACACTACACGCTGGGTGAGCTCGGTCGGTGGTGGAGGCACCTCATTTTCTCGACACCACCGCAGCTCATCATCCCGAACCTCGACTCGAAGGCCGAGCATTCGCGCTCCGTCCGCGACGCGCTCCTGCGGCTTGCAGGCTAGCCCGTACCTCGCAAAGTGCTCCACCACCTTGTCGGCGCTGACCACGTCTCCGTCGACGAGCAGGCCGTCCACATAGGCGAGTACTCCCCGGCTGATCGCCTCGTTCTCGCGCAGCACCGCCTGAACAACGGCCGTCATAATCAACGGCGCCACATTGAGGCCGAACGCGCGCCACGCGAGGCTGTAGGTACAGCCCTTGACCTGCGCTGTCTGATACGGCCGCAGTCGGCGCTCCAGACGCAGCTGTAAGCACGCTTTTCGCAGATCAACCACGGCCAACCGGGCACCATGCTGGCGCCAGCGGCGCAACTGCTCGGCGCACGCGTCGGCGTCCGCGGTGTGCGCGGTCACGTGCCGGTTGAGTTCGCGGTAGTCCAACACCGGCCTGACCTTCCCTTGTGCGGCTGTTGAAGTGCCATCAAGGGAATTAGGCTCCGAGCGGGCCCGTCCTCTTGCTCGTCATAGGCCCGGAACCATCCGTTCGCCACCCACTCAGCCAACTCGCGCTCGTAGGCCTCTCGTGCTTCAGCCGGCACAGCGTACTCACTCACGGTGTTCCCCAGACGTTCGGGACCACGTCCGTGCGCCCACTTCCACGCCACACTCCAGTGAGCGCCGTCGAACCGAGCCGTGAAATCCGCCGCCCCAACGCCAGTGAGCTTCGTGTGCCGCTGCCCGGGGCCGCCGCGCCGCATGCCGGCTCGTCACTTGCTGACTCAGGCGCCTCCTCCGTTGCCGCACCCAGCTACACGTCAGTTGGGGACCGAACACTGATGCCTCCTAACGCAGTGATGCCGGACATGCCAATCAGCACGTCCAACCCCAATGGACGATCCGGGACCACCAGCGCCGCGAACATTACTCGCTTGCCTCTGTAGTCGAACGTCACATGGGCGGTGCCCACGCACCGCAACACTCCATCGTTCGCCGTTCGTATCTTGACCGCGCACGGGCGCCACGTGCGGCAGCAGCTCACGTGAACCAAGGTGTCCGTACATCCCGTGCCGATCAGGGCACGCCGGGGGCGCTGGTCCACCAGCACTGTCACCGACTGGTAGAGCGCGCGCCTCTGCTCTGGGGACTGCGCTGGCGCCAACGCAGCCCCTCCCCCTGCCCGTTTGGGCACGCCACTGCTAGGTGACTCGCCTCGGTGACGCCTGTACGCAGGTCCAGCACGTCCGGACGGGTCGCCTTGCCGGTCGTACCTGTCGGGTTCCTCGTTCTTCGTGCGCTCTAGTCGCTGCCGCCGCCGCACCGACGCGTTCGTCGCTCACCACTGCCCGGGCTCGCACCAGGATGCTCGCCAGACTCAAAGCCTCCGCACGGGAGCCAGCGCGGACAGTCCTCCGCACCTCGTCAGGCAGGCCGGCAACAAATACGCACGTGAGCACGTTTTCCGGAACCCCACCGCACAGAGCTGCGAGATGCCGTAGGTCCGCCAGGAACACGTCAGGCGACTCACCAGGCAGCAGCCATGGGCTGGTGTATGCGTCGTACGCGGCAAACCGATCCATCACAAAGGCGTCATACAGAGCGTCACGCACGGTGTCACTCGATGCGCGCGCCTCCTCCGGCATCTGCAGCCAAACGGCAAACGCGCCACCCGTGAGTTGTGCCGGCAGAATGCTGGGCAAGTCCGCTCCACGGTGACAGCAGAGCACGGCCGCCCTCGCGAACCACTCTACGACGTCGGCCGTACCATCGTATTCGGGGATGAGTCACACGTCGAATGGGCCTCCACCAGTCACCGCGGCCCCTCTGTCCACTCCGGCCGTAGTAGTCGACATCACCGGCACTGGGACACCGCAGCAGCCGTTGTCACAGCGTCGCCACTGGCCGCGGCGGTTTCGGGCATGATGGCCGAAATAGCTTGTAAGAGAACGTAGTGTGTATCCGCCTGGACTCGTCCAAAAACCGACTGGCGCCTGCAAGCGTCGGGCCCGTGCCGCCGCCTCAGCGGCCGACCCTTGACCCCCGGCGAGTCGGGAGACTCGCGGTCACGTGACGCCCCTGGCACTCCGTCAGATGTAGAGCTCAGAAGACAGCGAAGGCGAGGGAGCATCCCCCCCCCCCCCCCCCACAATCACACCGCACTGTCCCCTTCCGATCTGTCGGCACTGATTTCACCGCTGTTTTTGGCTCCTTATGCCGGTGTTAGTTATTTGTGTACAACGTTTCTCACCGCCACGTTTATCTCTGTACCGGTGATGTTCGTTTTCACGCACAGGTATCGTACGTCTGCCTGCACCGGTTTCGCTAATAAACCTATCCTGGTGCCATTTATCCCTTTCTGCCTGTATTGGTGTCTGTGTGGAGTGTTTTTTTTTTTGTCCACCTTTACCGGTGTCCTTCGCCTGCGTATATCGGCATCGGTATTCTGTCTGCGTTGGTGATGCACTTCTAGCGCTACCGGTGGCCTTTGTAGGTCTGCTAACGTCGTTCCGTCTGCCTGTACTGTCGTCGTTTTTGTGCTGACTGCACCGGTCTCGTTCGTCTGCCTACAGCCGTGTCGTTCTTCCGTCTGTACCGCTGCCGCTGTGAATGAATGTACCGCCCGTTGTTACCCGTCGCTCATCGAGCCCGTACTAACTCTGAAACCTTGGAGGTGTATTACCGCGTAAAAGGCAGCAAGGAAATATACTGTATGAATCAGGGGAGTGTGCCACAGCTCTTCACATATTTAGCTCTGAAATGATTTTGTGCTGGATGCAATCCCTTCGAAAGCCTAAAACGCTCGAGCTCCTGAACTTGAGTGCTTTTTACGGGACCACGCTGATGGCAATTATGGCAAGGATGGCGCCTGACAAGGCATGTCGACACCAGCGGCCCACCGCCTGCCGTCACTGCCGCTGCCGGCCGCTGATTGGTGAAATGTGACGCCATGCGCAGTATGACGCAACGCTGCCAGATCTTTTCTCACAGAAGGGATAGAGCTTTTTACAGGAGCCAAAGGTCCGGTCCAGCGTGCGGTGTTCACGCGTGTCCTATCGATCCCTAGTAGCCGGCAAGCTTCCCCTGTAAGTTTACACGGCAATGCGTATGGGCGTCATGTGCCAGGCAGTCGGGCGCCCTGCACCCCAAATCGTCATTACCAAAGTGCGATAAGCACTGTGTAATTTTGACAGAAACGAGGTGGCTATTTGGACTTTAATTATAACAGCAGGTTAATGGTGCACTGCAGCCTTCATGTCCGGCGCGGCCACGGCAGGACGCAAATTGTGGCGAAAAGCGCCGGGCAGTCCGGCTGGTAGGTGGTCGAGAATGCTCATTCCTTGCCTATGGCTGCTTCACGTTTTTTCCCCACGGCGAGAATGGGATCGCTCCACGCCCGACTGCTGGCGATTATAATCGAAGTCAGCAAGCGGACAGCATTACGGGTGTGCCATATTTCTGTCGTCTTTGGTTCGAAGAAGGTCGGACGAAAACAGTGAATGCCCGTGCCTACCGTCCGAAATGCTCTTCAAGAACGAAAAGCTTGTGCGATACATGTTGGCGTACCTGAGACAATGTCGCTTATAAACTGGACCATCGTTCCCCTCCAAGCCGTGTAAAGCGGTCCTTGCTGGGATGTGGGACGGATGTGGGACGTCAGACCGCTCCCTACAGCTGGGGTTGTCGCGTGGAGAGTGTGGCTGACCGGCCAGAAGATAATCAGCCGCGCTGTCCCACCTCCACTTCTCAGCAATGTTTCCATCGCTGCTTTTGGCTCTGTGCCGGTTTTGCCGTTTGCGCACACTGATTTTCACCACTGTCTTCGCCACCTGTGCCAGTGTTCTTCGTTTGCATACACTGGCACCGTTCGTTCGTATGTACCGGTGTCTTCACCTGTTTGTAGGCGTTTTTGGTGTGTACCGTTGCCGTCCGCTCATCTGTCGTGGTGCACTGCCTGCCTGTCTACACTGCTGCCGTGTATCGGGGTGTACCGACGTCGTTTGTCGTTTGTGCCGGTGTGTTTTGGGCCTTGCCGGTATCGGCCGTTCGTGTGCTCTAGGGCTTTGCGTGGGTCTGCTCTGGTGTCGTTTGTATTGTACTGATGTTGTTTGTTTGTACCGTTGCCGTTCGTCTGCCAGTACCAGTTCTGTTTGTCTGTCCGTACCGTTAGCGTTCGAATGCCAACCACCGTCGTCTGGTCTACACCGACGGCATGTGTCTGACTGCGCCGCTTTCGTTCGTCCTCCTGCACGAGTGCTGTTTGTCTGTGTCTGCCGCCGCTGGTCTGTGTCTTCTGGCGCTCGTCTGTGTCTACTGTTTGTTTGGTGCCCCGGCGCCCGTCTGTGTCAGCATTACGGGTGTGCCCGTTACTGGCGCCCGTCTGTGTCTACTGTTTGTGTGGTGCAACAGCCTGTGCCAGGGCGCCTTACGCCTGTCTGATCGTGTGTGTACCGGCTCCGTTTGCAGGTCTGGTCGCAGATGTCGCATAATCTGGGCAACACGGCCAAGATTTTGGAGGAGATCCGGCAGTCCAAGGCGCAGATCTACCAGCTGGAGCGGGAGCTGGCAAGCCTGTGGAACTCGCGGTGACGCCGGTGGTAATGGTGCCTCTACACTGCCACGTCGCCTGCCGTGGTTGGCCTCGCCGCGCGCGAGCACACGCCAACAGCGCCGACCTCGCCGCTTGACCCTCGCCACACCTCACGGCCGGCGCGGGACGGACAGCGGTCGCTTGGCCCCGCGTATCGATCCGACGGGGTTGGCCGCCACTTGCAGAGGCAGGCTGCGACTCTACGCGCTAATTCGGTTGGTTATAGCGATAGCGTGTTTATCGGAAATTTCTGAAGCATGGGTCTATCGGCACAGCGAGCTTTTCGAGACTAGGCTATGAAGTCCACTCTGCAAATAATGCTTATTTTGGGCAATTTGGTTTAAAAGAGGCGAACACTACCGTTATGAAATGGACGCAATCTTTCCGTTGGATGGAAGCGGAACGAGAAATGTTATTTTTGCACCGCCAAATTTTGTCGCAAGTGAAGCTTGTCATTGTGTGTTTATCAGTATATGCATTGTTTCCTCTATTCTGTTGCTTTAATACATTTCGTACGTGAGATGAATTCCGGGTAATTTTCTGGTGCTTTGTCTGCAAGTTATACATGCGTAATTCAGGTATGTTCTGGGTGGCTAGCCATAATCACGGCTTACGGCCGCCGAGGGTTGAATGTCGACAGCAATGGCCAACCGTGAGATACCTGGGACCTGAGATGCACATACATTTAATCAGACTATTGTTACCAGACATTTGGTAATCCCAGATCAGACTGTTGTTACAAGGCATCTGGTAGCCCCAGATCAGACCATTGTTCCCCGACATTTGGTAGCCCCAGATCAGCCGTGTCCAGCTCCGATCGGCCCGGCGCCCGTCCCATGCGTCGCACGGTCGTCACCAGGCGGCGCCTCGCCGCCACTCGCCAGGCGGAACTGAGCGTCGCCTCGGCCGTCATCAGTTCGACCGATCGTAGTTGATGGCCGAGGTGTTACACGTACCAGATGCGATGTATGAAACACGCTCGATAGAAAGTATTGGGAGGCACCCACAGCACAGCCGCCTCACACAGGAGCTTCACACCTCGTCCCTGTGCCCACATGTGCCACAACACGATCTGCCATGCCGTGCGATCATGAGTCAAACAATACAGTTGTTGCGTGCAAGTTCCCGCAGGAGGTGTTTCTACCATGAGGACCGCATCACAGTTATGCCAGAGCAGCACCAGATTTGGAGTTCGAATGTAACGGATGTTACGCATAGCGCCTATTCCGTTCCTAACGATGCGTTCTTCCCAGCACCTGAGCATATCTCTTATGCTGCGGTATATAACCTGCGTTTGACCACGGCTGTCACCATTAATTACCTGCCATGGTGTTTGTGGTCACGCAGGTATGTTTTATCACGGGGATCTGGCTTGGCGTACTTCAGATACTCGTCCATAGTGTAATTGAACATCAAAAAGTCTATCTTGAAGACACGGTAGACCCGCATCAGCTCATCCCTCGTGACTTGCGAGTAGTACTGCCCGATGCTGTCGCCGGCCGGGCCAGCGCGGTGCGCGTTGGCCGCGTCCGGCAGCAACAGATGCGCGTGCTTGGCCAACCCCAGCTGTTCTGCGATGTACCGCTGATCTTCGTCCAGCGTCTCGAACTTGGCCACCAGGTCGTAGTCGACCTTGCATGGCGTGCAGTGGGTGTGGTAGGGTCGCCAGTGCTCGTCGAGGACGTCTCTGGCTGCCACGCTGCGTAGGAACTCGTCGAAGGTGAGCGGCGGCAACGGCCGGCTCACAGACGGCGGCGGCCACGGGCCGGGCCAGGCCCAGGCCGCACCCTTGCGGATCCGGTGCAGGCTGACCATGCGCTCCGCCTTGCTCTGGTAGAACGGGTGCACGTTCGTGCCCTCCAGCTTGTCGCGGTAGGCGCTGAGCAGGCGCTCGAACGGGTGGCGCACCACCAGGAGTCTGTGGCGCACGGTCTCCGGTACCTAGTGAACGGGCGGGCGGTTAGCGGCGGCTCGGCCGAACCTGGTGTGGCCCGTTGCTGCTGATCTCTCACGGCAGCGGTGTTGAATGGGACCGGGGATCCGTCTCTGAGCTAGAAGCTGCACCGACGGATAGCTAAAAAGCGGATGTTGTGACTGGAAAGGCTTCCCCAATCCCGACGTCTCCCCTGATTTCTGTTACCTCTCTGTTCAGCTAACGAAAAGGGAAAACGCTCCGTATGTCTGTCATGAATGCTTAACAACGCGGGCTGGCACGCTGTTTACACCTAGAAAGCCCCAAATTCAGTGACAATGTAATCATTTTGTCTACGTTACCATCATAGTCAATTTTCCGTACACCTTATCAGTCCCGCGGAAAAAAGCCAACAACAAAAGCATGCACTGACGCCGGGACACCGGCATGAGACAGTCGGACGAAGCCGTCAGACAGTCGGGGCGCAGTCAAGAGCCCCAAGACTTCTAAGAGCAATGCAACACGTCAACCATATTACATCATAACGGAATACTGGTGTCGCATTATATTCGGCGGGGTTTAGCATTCACCGTTTTCACCGCGTGAACGTGCCCATTTCCTGGGTGAGACTGCCATACGTTTGGTGGACTGATCGTTCCGATGGTGCCGGCCGCTGCTGCTCCAACCGGGGCCTGCGGCGGCGCCGGCCGGCCGAGCCCGTACCTTCCAGCCGCGCCGCTGAGAGCCCAGGTGCTCGCGCAGCGTCTCGATGGTGCAGCGGCCAGGCAGGCCAGGCCGGAGCGACGCGTCAATCCCGTGCTCCCGGCAGAACACCTTCAGCCAGTTGGTGCTGCCCGCCTTGAAGATGGGACACCAAACCAGAGCGTGGCTGCTGTCGGCAGCAGGCGGCCACGCGTCAAGGTGACGAAACAAGCGGCCAGCAACAGGCGGCCACGCGTCAAGCTGACGAAACAAGCGGCCAGCAACAGGCGGCCACGCGTCAAGGTGACGGAACAAGCGGCCAGCAGCAGACGGCCACGTGTCGAGCTGACAAGACAGGCAGCCAGCAGCAGGCGGCCACGCGTCAAGGTGACGAAACAAGCGGCCAGCAGCAGACGACCACGTGTCAAGGTGACGACACAGGCGGCCAGCAGCAGGCGGCCACGCGTCAAGGTGACGAAACAAGCGGCCAGCAGCAGACGGCCACGTGTCAAGCTGACAAGACAGGCAGCCAGCAGCAGACGGCCACGCGTCAAGGTGACGACATAGGCGGCCAGCAGCGGACGGCCACGCGTCAAGGTGACGACACAGGCAGCCAGCAGCAGGTGGCCACGCGTCAGGCTGACAACACAGGCAGCCAGCAGCAGACGGTCACGCGTCAGGCTGACAACACAGGCGGCCAGCAGCAGACGGTCATGCGTCAAGGTGACGACACAGGCAGCCAGCAGCAGATGGCCACGTGTCAAGGTGACGACACAGGCAGGCAGGCAGGCTCGACACAGCTGAGACCGAACACGACTGATCCACACGGCTGAGACTGAACACTGGACTGATCCACACGGCTGAGACTGAACGCTGGACTGGACATAGCAACACTATCAGTGGAGAGGCAATGCAGGGGCTTGTTGCAGGTGTGAAAGTGCTACAACATATCAATCAGCAGCTCGGTTGTTGGCCAACGACATGTCTGCTTAGCCGGCTTCGGTAGTGTTAATGGTCTGAACAAATCTGGCGCCATAGACCATCTAGAGATCCAAAAAACCACAGCTGACAGTTGTAACGAATGGGTGTGGCCCGCCAAAAGAATTGGTGCGTCGTTAGAATACGGAGATGCATCAGACCAGTTCATTTTCAGTGTCTAAATCCAAAATTCCACGATTTATCGACGAATCGTGTTAATTCGATCGACGAATTGTACCCACAGTATGGTTTCATAGGGTTTTTGTCAATTTAATTTGCATTACACAGCTTATGTCAGTTATAAAAAGCAGACAATAGCGAACGGACAACGGAAAATCATGCGCACCACACATTTACGCCAATACTTTTATTTGACAAGCAAATCTCAGGAAAAGCCTGGGCAGGCGCCAACCAGTTTTACTGCCAAAAGCCAACGACCGGCTGCCATACACGTCTGTGGAGCGACAGGGTATTCCATGTCTTGTGCAAAGGAAATCTATTCTGCTAGCATTTGAGCGTGCGTTGTTGCTGCTGCGCCCTCCACATAGGCGAGACAGCCGCTAGGTCCCGAGTGAGTTGAACTGGAGCACGGACTGTCGCTCAGCCATACATGGTGAGCGGTAGAACAATGAACGAATGACGAGCTTGTGTTCATGCTCTCTTCACGGCGTCACGCGTCAGGTATCAAATGAATGGATGACCGCATCTCACCGCCAAGCATTGTACAATTGCTCAGGCGTACAAGACCTCAACATCTGTCCCATTCATTGGGTCGGAATGGACTGGTGATCCCATTATATGTTTTCTTTAGAAGCGTGCTTCGCCCGACGTACGTTACAAGTCAAAGGAAGTTTAGTATGTGCGGCGCCAAGGCTCTTAGAATAAATTAGTGGCGCTACGCCAACATATGACACGGTTCCGGCAATACACTGGAGTGCGGCACAGCCTCCTCCGGGTTTTGGCGACGCGCTGTGTACTTTAGCATCTCATGGAGCAGACTGGGTAAAGCTAACGAGATAACCGCGAATCGATAGGTTTTGTGCACACGATGTACATGAGTTAGGAAACGCGTTGCTCATCCGATGTTCACATTGCAGGGAGTGCGTCACCTTTGAGGCATACTTCAAAAACATACCCTACTAATGGCAGTGAGACCTGCCATTATGGGCTTGATTTGAGAGCCGGAGGGCTCGAAAGGCCGGCTTGAGGTTATATTCAGGGGCCCCAGCCCGCAGAATTGGGCACTCCAATGCCAGCCAATGGGCCCAGCGCGTTGGTATAGGGCCCCTGAGTCAACCAGGGCCTATATGTCGGTCAGACACCATCAGTAACACAGTCTACTCCCTTGCGGCATGAGCCTGATGGCCCATTTCCCAAGCAGGGACAAAGCCAGAGCCAGGGATTTATATTGGTCGGGCCTCACAACGCCTAAAGGGTGCCCGGCGCGGGCTAAGGGGACCAAGCCAACCAGAGGCAGTGTTTGAGCAGGCTCAAAGAGCCTGAAGGACCCACCAGGTCCGACAATCAAAGGCTTGATTGGGGGTCTACGGGCACGACGGGCTAGTCGGAGTGTTATTCAGGGGCCCCGGCCTGCGTGGACGGACCCTCAAATGACAGTCAGAGGCCTTTTTACAGCGCTCGGGTACACCCTGAGTTGATATGGGTCAGTATATCGGTTAGGCACCACCAGCACCGCGCAGTGCGCCCCGTATCGGACCTGAAGGGCCACCTCTCAGTCAGCTAAAAGCCATGGCCAGTGATTTACACTGGTCTGTGCCCATTTATCTGTCAGTGGCCCATAACGCCTAACAGAGGGTCCTGCGCTCGCAGGGCCCCGAGGCGACCGAGGGCAGTGCTCGAGGAGGCCTGAGGAGGAACTCGGGCGGTCCAACGGTGCAGACCATCAAACGCGCGGTCCAAGGACATAG